CAATATATACAAAACTATGCAAATAGATCTTTAGGTCTAGAATTATAATTTAATTGTTTGGACTTCGAGCCAAAATTAAAAGTTTGGCAAAAAAAATTAAAACCTATAAGGCCTAAAAAAAATAGGCAATATAATCAGTGGCACAAGGCATTGGACCAAAATCCTAATAGGCTTTTAAAAATCATGAAAGGGAATGGGATCCAAACCAAAAAAAAAAAGGCCTGGAATGGTCATAGGCCGAGAGCCAAGAAGCAGACCTAAAACTGGGTAAGGTCCAGCAGCCAAACGGGGGCAGCGATCGTGTGTTTCGCAGGCATGGATGCACCAGCGTGTGGCTGTGATCCGGTGCGGCGCAATGCAGAGGAACACCATAGCCATACGGGGATGTGATCATGTGATTTGTTGTGAACTGAGACTGACACACCCAACCCTGATATTCCCCGAATACCAGGGTAGACATGTGTTAGCCAACACCCGAAGGTGATGAAGCCATATTAGGATGCATGAGAACTATGAATATGAAAAAGACTTATAAATTCAATTGTAATAAATATGCAAATGAGGAACGTGTTCAGAGCATACAATCTAACTACAACACTAAAAAGCAAATAATATAAAATTTAATGAGCAAAGGAGTGGGTCCTACACCGAGAGCACTCGAAGATGCTAATGCGGAAGTGCCTTGACACCGGGATTATACGCCTCGATTCTAAGTCTTGAGGGGGTGCAAAACAAACATGAGTGAATCAAGTTGATATATCTATAATACTAAAACAGTTATCAACATACTAACCCCCAAAGTTTTATGAAAACTAATAACATAATGGGTGATAGGTTTTCTGAAACCCTAACATGCCATAAAAACTTTCATAAAAAATATGTCGTATATAGTGTGCTAACTAGTGGTATCAGTATCATCCGAAGGCTTATAGAACTCTTCTTTCAGAACACTTCCTTCACAAGTATCAATTGCCCGTACTCTCCTATAGCACTTAACCCGTAGGTCAATACAAGTATCATCACCAGTAGGCTCCTACAACACCCAACCTGAAGGTCAATATAAGTATCATTGCCCGTAGGCAAAACAATGACCACTAGATGCACACAAAACCTTGAATATACTCTTTCCAAACATAAGTACATATATCTCAAATCATCTTCATAGCATATAGTCATCCATCATATATACTATAAAGAAGTGTAAAGAAAACAAGTTCATAAATAGTGTATAGTCATCCATCATATATACTACAAAGAACATAAGTTCAATAAAATATGGTATTCCAAAATATTCGTGGTAAAGCATGATATATCATAAGTGTAAATCTAATTTACTCATAAAACGTCTCATAAAATGTAACCATTAAATCATGATCTTTATGTATGCATTTCTACTATTAAAACATGCATTTTAGAAGAGGTCCACTCACAGATACTTCGTCATCGAAGAACCGAACGAAATAGGAATGATGGATTCGCCGCTAATAATTGCACCTAAGCACATAAAGGGTACAATTAACAAAACTCTATCAAAACGATTGAATTTGGGAAAACGGACGTAAAAAACGGATCCAAGATGTCAAAATTAGCCTAGGAGGGGTCCCAGACAAAACCTGAAAAAGTCAATGTTGACAGTCAACGGTTAACGGTCAATAGTCAGCGTTGACTGAAGTTAACGGGTCCGGTCATCGGGTTTAGTGCTTAGGGTTTGGACTTGGGTTAGGATTAGGTTTAGGTGGGTTGGGTTTTGGGTTAAAAGGTTAATGGGTTTAAGATTGGGCTCGAGTTAGGGCCGAGTTACAAGGTCCATGGGTTTGGGTCACAAAGGTCGCGACTTGGGCTGAAGGCCCGTGGGTTTTGGGCTAGGTTCAAAGGACTTGGGTTGGGTTGACCCATTTTCAGGCCAATGAATTGGCCGATTTCCAGGCACCACTTCAAACGCCGATAACTTATTCGTTACTCAACCAAATCAAGTGATTCAACAACAAAAGTTGTAGTACTCAATGAGACAAAGAGAATGGTACCTTGTACGATGGATAACTCACCTTGGTTTGGCTGGAAAATGCCTCGAAAGGTGATTGTCCGCAAGAAAACTGTTAACTTGCTAGAATTTCTGGGTAAACTTTAAACGTCCATAACTTTGTCAATACTCAACAAAATTGAGTGATTCAAAAGACAAAATGTAGATAGGAATGTGGACAAGAGATTCATACCAAGTGGGCTGAAAGATGGCCAAATGACCATGGCCTGGAAATTTCCACGATCGGGAAATTTCCAAATTTGCATATTGACTTTCATTGAGCTTTTTCAAGTTCCTACACCACCAAAACCACCCAAAAACTTACTAACCATGAACCTAGACATGACCTACAATGATAGGGACCAATTTCGAGGCTTACCTTCGTCGGAAATGGCGAGAAATCGCCGAAGAAGATCCTTGAACAGTGCAACTCGGGGGTGAGTTTTTGAATGATTTTTCTTCTATTTTCTTGGTTCAAGAACTCGTAGGGACAGTGAGGGAAGGTTGTGGTGTAGTCTAGGTTGTTTTTGTGTGTTGTTGTTTAAGTGAAAACCCTCTAGGAGGGTTGGTTTTTTAGGGAGAAATGAGAGGGCTGAGAGTGAGGGTGAGAGATGAGAGAGAGAGAGATAGAGTTTTCTTTTGTCAAAAAATAAGAATAATAGGGTCACAGGTGCAATGGGGAATAAGGAAGGGACATGTGGGCTTTAGTGGCTCCCAATTTAAGAGTCAACAAGTCTCCAACTCAAAATAAAAGTCCCGAAATAACAGTTTAGGTAAAAACCCTTTTTTTCGGTAAAAATTCGGGACGGGTTGTCACAAAGACATCATGGCCTTACTGGCTTGTGTCATGTGGGTCGAGCAGGGAAAGACAACAGGCTGTTGCAGGCAAGCCCAAAAACAAAAACAAAAATTTGTTTTGTTGCGGGTTGTAACAAGCAAAGCTCATGAGGGATTTGGGTCAATTCAAGAACACCCTAACCCATGCTGGGTATGGTTGTCGAGGAAGAAAACCTAGTGTCGTCGCTGCTAGTGGGTGTGTTCGAGGACAGAGATGGCTTTCCGATCGAGTTGGGGTTCATTAGAGAAACTAGGCCATCGTCAGAGTGTTGAAGAACCCGACGTCTACGAACCTAGGGAACCCTCGGATTTGAAAATCATTTTTTTTTTCAAAATCCGGCTAGATTCATGTAAATCTTGGCCAAACACCAAGATAGGGACGACTTTAGGTCGTCGGGGAGGCAGCCACAATGGCTAGGCATGACTGCAGGCCATGCTTGAGTTAGTTTTAGTGATGGCGACGCCATGGAAGGTGTCGAGGTGGGTTTTGGGTGCATGAGCCATCATGGCTCCGTGGCTTGGCTCATAGCTTGGCTCAGCTCCAGCAGCTCAGGTTATTGGCTTAGCAGGCTGGGCTTGGCTGCTCAGGGTTAGGCGGCTTGAAGCTGCAGTTCGTCTGAGTTTAAAACCCTGATTTTGTTTTTTTTTTCTTTTTCAGGTTCAATTATATGCATAAATAATTTAATACTAATCTATATATAATTTCATGCAAAATCAATTCACACAATTCCGCAATTATGGATATAATGCATACATAATTTATGTAGAATCTAAAATTCGAAAAACGTAAAGTTGGGTCATACATTATGGTGAATGTTCATGTTATCAGGGCTACAAAAATATCAAGATAAAAACTGTTGTTTTGGAAGAACCTAATTGCGTGATGATATTGATGAATTGGTTTGATGCAGAAAATTATTTCTTCAATTTCGGCTTTCTATCTCCAAAGCTTGTATCACGTTCAACATAAGAAAAATAAATTGAATCAATAAAAGTATATGTATTCAAGAAAACCAAAATTTAATCAATTAAGATTAATTTAAATGTAATACTCCCCTGATTGAAGAATAACCACGTCAGATTCCTTAGCGCAATGGAGGAGCGTGCTGATAACGTGTTGTGGCTTATATTTAATTGAGGGGTGTGGCATAGAGAGAAAGAGAGTGGAGAATAGGCTTGAGGAATTGTGTGTTAATCCACTAGTCTTCGTGCCTATATTTATAGTAATAAGGAGGACAAAAACTTGCTCTTCAAGTAATAAAAAGTCTATTAGGAAAGATCTTCTAGATCCAAAGGATTTCTAATCTATCTTTACTTAGGATTTACACAATCATAATATGTATTCAAACATATGTCAACATTAGCAACCTTTTCCCTTCCCCACCCCCATCTCTCTCTCTCTCTCTCTCTCTCTCTCTCTCTCTCTCTCTCTCTCTCTCTCTCTCTCTCTCTCTCTCTCTCTCTCTCTCTCTCTCTCTCTCTCTCTGAATGTCCTTTACCATCTTGAAGAAAAGCTCAAATGGGTTGCAGCATGTACAAATCTAATTTGAATTTCTAAGACTCCAGTTAATGAGGAAAAACCGAAAGCGATTGAATTGGTTTTATCATGGATGCTTGGTTGTGAGAGAGAATGGCGTTGTTTTATTTTTTTATTTTATTTTATTTATGAAGAAAGCTTCGACACTGAGTTTGATGCTTTCTAGTTAGACCAGAATCTCTAAGATGGCATGGTGCCTTCTCTGAAGATGGTCATTTGGATATAGCCAAAGTGCTTGGACGAATCCAACGAGGGGGATAGAAATATAAATAGAGGTAGATAGCATTTTTGTAAAGTAAAAATATAAGTGAAGGTGCTTCTCTTTGGAAAGCTGAAAGAAATCTGCAAGTTTGAATCTCTGATTCTCTATGTTGATAGAAAAAGTACACCCTGCTAATTAGTTTATGATTTTGTTTTTGTCTTAAAATGTTTTCAATCGTGAACCTAACTTTCGCTTACTCATCATTTGACGGTTTTATCCATTCTCAGGCTTAACCCCGGTGATGAGATGTTAAACCTAAGCTACTCTAAACTTGTTTTAGAGACTTAAAGAAAAAATAAAACTGTTTTAGAGAATCGACTTAGAATTATCCACTTTGTTGCCAGGTGGGTTTAACAGGTGTCTTGGAGGTAAAGGCAACTTCATACACAAGCAACGACCAAATAACGAAAAACGTTTACGGAACCTTGGTATCAGAAAACACCGTCGCCGTTAACCACGACCACTTCCTCACATATATGCTAGACCTAGACGTCGATGGTAACGCCAACTCCTTTGTCAAGGCCAAGTTCCAAACGGCAAGAGCAAGTACCGTTAACCCAACATCACCAAGAAAGAGTTACTGGAAGGTCTTTTGGGAAACCGTCAGGACTGAAGCCGAGGCGAGAATTCGGCTCGGCTTGGAGCCTGCCGAGTTGTTGATTGTGAACCCTAATAGTAAGACTAGGCTTGGAAATCAGGTTGGTTACCGGGTGATTACAGGACAGCCAGTAACTTCTCTTCTGGCTGATGATGATTACCCACAGATTAGGGCTTCTTATACTAAGTATCAAGTTTGGGTGACTGCCTATAATAAGTCAGAGAAGTGGGCTGGAGGGTTCTATGCTGATAGGAGCCATGGAGATGATGGCTTAGCTGTTTGGAGCCAGAGGTACCTTTCTGCTTTCACCTCCTTTTCCCTTTATCTTTTGCTCTTTTAGATTACTAGTAAAGAGGTCATCAATATTTGTAAAGTTAATAGTAAGATCAGTGGCTCACCGCGTGCAAACGAATTTTAATTTACTTTTGATGTCTTGTGAGACTCACATGCATCAATTACCGAAAATTGCTCAATCTCTGTCGTAGCAAACTTCATGTATGAACATCCGTGTTGTATAGTGTTGATTTTGCGTCAAATTTGATTTAAGAGGAAACATTTTCATGTGCAGGAATAGAGCTATTGAAAACAAAGATATAGTATTGTGGTACACAGTGGGATTTCATCACATTCCATGCCAAGAAGATTTCCCAGCTATGGCCACCCTTCATGGCGGATTCGAGCTACGCCCTGCAAATTTCTTCGAATCCAACCCATTGCTCTAACAAAGCTGCCCTTTTGAAGGGAAGTTCTTAGTTATGACAGAAATACTTTATAACACCATTCTTCAAAAGTTTAATTAATCATGGTTTGTTGTGAAAGGGACAAGGTGTTGTATACATACGTTGGGTTTCTTCACTTCTCTGCATAGTTGTAAGTTTGTGTTCATAAATCTGGACTGACTGGTGGCTCGGAAGGACTTTAGTAAATCACATCTGCAGAGATTAGTTTTAACTCTTTTTAAGTTTGTAAAACTGAAACATAATACAATCAATGAAAGTTTAATTTATCATTCGTCTCATATTCTTATGCATTGCAATACTTTCTCCTATAAATATGTTATTATATACTAGCAATAATAGTTTTGAACTCTCTTCTCTCCTTAACAATAATAATTTAAAAAAAAAAAAAAGATACTAGCAATATTGGGTGGGCAAGAAGAAGGTTCTTAGTGTAGCGATTCTTTTAAAGTTTTGTAACAACCAACATCTCAGTCCGCTACTAGCTATGTTTGGGAGTAATGTAAATTCTCTTAACCACATAGACTACGAACCCCACCAAGATATTGATTTCCCAAGTAATAACACTTGTTTGTTCATGGTGACATGGATTGGAATGAGACTAGGTATTCAATTTGTAATGGAAAATTTGAAATAAATTAAAACAAACTGTAATGGGATGAAAACACTGTCGTTGTTCTCAATTTTCCTATTCCTGCGCACACAAAATAATCACCATTCACACCAGTCAACAAAAAAGAACAAGAATCACAAGCATTCTGTAAACTCTTTTTGTTTGCATTAACCAAATTTAATCACAATTTATCACCTATTGGTCCACACATCGAATGTGTCATCTCCTCTACTTTGATCAACGTGTATTCCTCCTGCCCATTTTTCAGACTTGTTGTATGATGTAACCCACACATTGTACTTAGTGAAGCGCCGCGGATTTTCCATGCATATGAAAACAGTTGTTGACAAGTGAGGCCACAATATTTGCTAGGCGAGACCACTACACCAAAAACTACCTTTGATAGCATGTTTTTATAGCATGTTTAATGAAAATGCTATCAAATGTTATGTTACAACATTTAACACCATTTTGATAACTTAATATAGTGTTTCTAAGCAGTACGCTATCAAAACTTAATATCTCTGATTAAAAGTTTCATTTTTTGATTGTGGGTTATTATTAGTTTATCTGTTTATTGGATTTCAATAATAGACTTGATTGCAATTTGCATAAGCACACTGTGTGATCGGATGGATATAGGCATCTGATTTGATCAGTGAGAGAACCTTTATCCCTGTAGCTAGAAGTTGGCCTCCATGGAGTACATTTTGACCTGGTTTGGTACTGAGGTGATTCTGAAAAAAGCTGGTATAAAAAAAAGCTGGGAGCTGTTTTTGTGTTTGGTAAACATTCAGCTTCAGCTTTTTTTTTCACAGTTTTGGATGAAAACAAGCCAAAAATAAGAAGTTGCAAAACCTAGCTTTGAAAAATCGGTTTTTTTTTCACATCTGTTTTACATAAAAATTTACCAAACACTATAATACTGTTTTTTTTTTCAAAAGCACTTTTACAAAAAAGTTTACCAAACACTCTACTGCTTTATTTCACAGCTGTTTATTCTTACAGCACAACAGAATCAGCTTTTTTCAAAGCACAGCAATACCAAACCAGCCCTTTAGCTGTTATGGTGCAGTGGCTGGTAGGTTGTATAACAATTCAAAAACTGCTCTAGATGCTTCCTATATGATCCCAGATGCTATGAATTGTATAAAAATGCTACAAAAAAACTCCTATAGCATTTGAAAAATGCTATGGAAAAAATTTATTATAGCATTTTGGAATTGATATACTAAATTTTTCATAGCATTTACAAGCTATAAAGGGTGATTATAACATTTTACACTTTCTATATCATGGCCTAGTATAGCATGAAGAAGCAAGCGGTCTTTTATCACAGTGGTAGAAAAGTATTGTGCTCTTGCATGATGACGTGAATTCGAACCTTGTCGGTTAATATTTAATCTAACAAAATCTATTGTTTCGAAATAAAAAATTAAAAAAAAATAAAAAAAAAAATTGAGAAAATGCTATGGGACACTTTCTATAGCATTTCTGGGTTTGTGATGTAATGATAGTGAATAACGGGTTGAAGTTAAAACATAAAACACAATATTCATTCTCCACCCTAATATCGAAACTAATAGTGAGTGACCATGTATTTTCTGGTCACCAAGTGAACATTTCTGAACCAATGTAACCCTAGTTATGGATTTTCCTTGTTTACACATAATTAATTTATTGTCCATCTTTGAAATAAACGGATCTTCTTTGATATAAAATCTGTTACTCAGAATATTCATTTACAAGAAGAGCCATGTCGTAGATGTTACAGATACAATTTTCAGAATCTTAAAACAGCTCTCTGGTTGGGGATACTCGACTGAATGTGTTTAATTTTAAGCCTACTTCCTCCATCAAACACCGTCTCCATGATATAACTGCCGTCAAACTTCATAAGAACAGCTATAAACCTACGGGCAGCAGAAAACAAAACTTTGAAAGCAGAGTAGGTGGGTGACTGTCCGTGACTGTTACAACTTATCAGACTTCCATAACAATAAACAATGTACTTGGCCTTACCATGATTTGAAACTACGTGCCTCGGCGATACTCCAATTGCTTTGTATTCTCTAGTAATACCTATCATAGAAAACCCATATTAAAATTCCAATAAAGATGGCAATACTGCAACAAGAAATGAAGCAAACTCTCATTGAGCAACAAGCACTGTCCAAATACAGAGGCCACATGTCAAGGCAGAACTTATCACTGCGGGGGCGGAAAAATAGAGCAAAAAAGTGCTTACTTCTCGAATATATGTTGCAACTGCCTTGCAGCCCTCGATTGCAAGTTGCATTACATTTTCAAAAATGTCCAATGGTAATTTAGCATCCATCTGCATCAACGATCATCACGAATAAGTGGTTTACAAAAGGCGCTACAAAGAAGACACTGTAGATGCCAACTAACACAACAATTGTAACTTACCATTGTGAGAACAGATTGAGAAACAAATATGACAATTACCTGAAGAAGAGTCACTTTGTCCAACTTTGGCATAATGCCTAAAGTGACATCAGCGCCTCCAGCACTATCTTCTACATAGTTTAAATCTGCCAAACCAGCAACAATAAGCTCACATGAATATTACAATGGCCTTACAGGAGCCATACAAGCATAAGGTAATGTAAAAGTTTACCAAGTAGAGGTGTGCTATTAAGGTAGCCAGCACTACAGGAAGTAACAAGGTCACGCATTGGAATTCCAGCATCTGAAAGGGCCAGGGTTGCAGCATTGATACATGCAGATCTAGTACCTGCCAAAGATAAAATAAATAAAATAATCGAACTCAAGGATAGATCTTTCCATTCTTCAGTTAAAACAGTGAAGCAACCTGTTCAAATCCAATAGTATTTGCTAAATAGTAAATAGTTAGCATTCCAACCGATACACATATAACAGGGACAACCATGGCACTTTGTGAACAGTGAACACTATCGTTCACATCTCTATTTCCATACGATGCAACAACAGCAATAACTGTTAATGAACTGCCTGCAGCATAGGTTGACCCTCAAACACGAACTACCTCAATAGTAGTTAAAAAACTGAAGCAAACTAACATCTTTAAATTCAAATACAAGTGGTTAACGTACATGAAATGAATTGAGGAGACTTCGTTTTTCAGAAAATAAGCCTGGATCTACAAATATCTTGACTCAAACAGGACCAAACATTCACACACACAAAGGAAACATATCATATAGGACCTATGGCTGCAAAGAAACATCGGGATTTACCTCCATCTGCTTGGAGAACTTGCACAAAAATATCAATCTGCAGTAAACAGATACAAGGCTCAGAAAAGAACAAACTAGACATTCATTGAAGAAAAGTTCCCAAGATGCATCAGTCGAACCTGAGTCCGAGGCATTAAATGTGTCATAATGCATGCTTCCATGGTTTGCCGAATAACAAGAGAAATCTCTGTGGATCGTCTGGAGAGCATCAAATATACACATTTTAATGCTATAATTTAATTTAGTTATGGATACAACACTCTTATGTTGAATTTTATATTGATGATGATCCAAACAAAGCATGTATGAATATGAAATAGAATAGAATATATCACCTATCACCCTTTGGCTTCCTCATGCGATCTCCAGTACTAAAATTTGCCATGGTGTACTCACATCGCACCTAAACTTATTAACAATTGCAAACGAAATTACATTTACAAACATTACCAATGCCTGTCAGGTTTATCATACTAACCACAACATAGATAAGTTTAACACACAGAGACTGAGATGAGAACTATTACCAGTGCCCTGTCATTCATCTGTTGGCTCCTATTTTGGACCTAGAAAACAAAAGTATATTAACAGCTTGAATGAATTAAAATTGAAAATTGTACAAGACCTTTTAAATGATAATGAGTACCATGCACAAGATCATTAAAATTTTAGCTCGAAATTATAGAATGAAGAGAAAGTGTTGGCTAACCTCTCTAGGGCCATATACTGCAGCAATGACTTTGGTGTTCCCCATCTCAAACACAGCAGAACTGAAATTTGATATGAAAGATCAATTTTTTTTTTTTTTTAAATTACAAAGATTAGAAAAGAAGAATCAAGGCCTTAGTAATTCAAACCCGTCAGCTTTGTCCACAACACCAATCTCTCCTCGAATTTGTCTCATCTGGGATCAAAGAAAATATATTTAGTTCATAAATATAATTGAAAACTTATAACGATTATGATTGAATAAAATGGAAAATTGAGAGATGGAAAAATACTTCCATGGGCCGCCGACCATCTAAGCGAAGACCTTCTGGGCTCACGTACTCCATCTGTTAGAACTTCGTAACAACCAACTTAGGAAACCCCATAGATAACAAAGCAATCACTGTCTAAAATTTAAACGCCATGACAACCAAACTGCAAAGTTCCATAAATTAATGCATAATGGCTTTGTTTCAGCAACAATATGGCTACTCTATCATGGTTCATGCCTATACTTATCAAAAAAATTAGACAAACAAGACGGAAGTCAAGAAAAAAAAACACTTAACTAACCAAAAGGAAGTAATTCAAATAAAGAACGCTAACTCTCAGAGAAGAAGCTAACTTTGTTTTCACCTTCCCTTCAACACCCTCAACAACTCTTACACTTGTACGAAAAAATCAGTAACGAAAGGACCACCTTTTATCTTTTAATCATGAAACCCATTACAGCAGAAACCGTTCTCAATTAAGACAATGAACGGGTATGGTGGAATACTCAAATCATTGGAACCCACAATAATGCAGAATAAAACCCACAATAATGTTAATCGTTATGGGCATTTCCATTCGAGGCTCATCTCAATTGTCCCATGTCTGTGACACATACTTGCCTACCAACCTTCGATGCAAATATTAAAAAATTTCAAAATCTTTTTTTTTTTTGAGCAAAATTTCAAAATCTAAAACATAATCAATCAACAACAATCCCATATAGTTAATCTAAACCCTACTCAAAACCCACAACTCCAATTCCTCTGATTTTAACCCAAGATTTTACTACGTAGGCCTCAAAGACACACACAAACAAACCCTAGCTTCCCTCATGGCTCTCACCCCAAAACCCCAATAGAAAAATCAACATATTAAACAAGGTTTTAAACTTCCATGAAAAAATAAAAGCCAGAAATTAGTAAAATTACAAAACTTAAGCGAGTTTAGGCAAGAGAGTGAAGAGGGTGCGTGAAATTGCAATGGGTTTCAGAAGAAAAAAAATAGAAAAAAAAAGGTGTGATTTTTCATTGAAAAAAATAAATAAAAAAGCGAAATTTCTCATTATTATAAGCTTAGTTAAATCCTAAATAGTAAAATTAAGATAGAAAATGAAAGGAAGCGGGAAGACCTGGGTGAGAACTGAGAAGAACAACTGCAGATTTTACAAGGAGAAGAGTTGAGATTCAGAATACAGTGGAGGGTTTAGAGAGTGCCGCCTGGGGTTTTACAAAGGGTGGAAGCATTGGGCTGAAACCTGGGCCTATTTTAAAAGGTTGGGCTCTTTTTTATTCGGGTCAAACAATGTCTAAGGTCTGTTTACGTACGTAGAAATTAGAATCACAATATCAATGTGAATGAAACAGGGATTAACATGAACTGGGTCAAGAGGTGATTTTGAACGGATCGGATTCGAAATAATGCTTCTAATTTTCATTTTTAAAATTTAAAAATCAAATAGGATTGGGATCCTAATTTTTAAATTTTTATTTTTTGTAATTTTTGGAATCAAAGTAACTCGGAAATTTTAAAACATAATTCATAAATTTTGTCGGATTTTGAATATTCTCGAACTTTTTCGTACATGCAATTTATTGTTCTTTCATAATATTTGATACATGTTCATGTATAAATTCAGTTAAAGTTTGTGGTATTGGAGATATATTAGTATTTCTATTAATTAATGAAATCTTCTTTGTCAACCAAAAGAGGGTAAAAAAAAACTACATAGTCTTCTATCACACAAAAAAATGATGGGCAATCATGTAATTTCACAGATCCAAAATTTACTGTTTTTTATTGAAGCCTCACTACAGGTGATGTTAAAATACTTCCAATATTTTTTTTTTTTTTAAACAAAAACCTCTCACTCCCCCCATGTTCTCTCTCTCTCTCTCTCTCTCTCTCCCCCTCTCGTCTTCTCATTTTCTAAAAAAATGTGTTTATAGACACAAAGTTTGTAGGCAAATGCTAGTATGATATAAAAAAATGAACAAAAAGTAGCCAAAACTAACAATAAAATACAAAAGTTGATTGCAAAATCCATAAATTTGAGTAACTACAAAAATTCATATATATATATATATATATATATATATATTTTAAATATCGGAATAAATACGGAACACTTCGAGAAAATTCAGAATTCTCGAAATCCTTATATGCATTTCAATGTCCATTCTAAATTTTCAGAAAATATTCAAATTCGAAAATTCTACAATCGTAATCGGAAACATCATTCCAGCTTGCACCCTAATCTGGTCGTGTAAAAATTAGAGTAGGCATGAAACGAAAAACGAAGCACCCTCTTTGAAATGCTTACAAACTATCATGAATCGAAATAAGAAAAAAGCTAAAGCCTAATAATGTGTTTATTAACTACTAATAATCATAATAAAAGCTAATTAGATTACTGAAATACTGACACACCCCGACCTAGATCAGGGCATGATGGCCGTCACGCGGAAGTGACGTAACCATGTGCACAGTGCGGAAGCTAATAAATAATAATAAGAGTACGAATAAAATACAAACCTAGCTATACACAAAGTAATAACATACATTTGCAAGCATAAGTGTGAAAAACCAAGTTCAGAGCACGGACGACCTAGTGCAGTTCGAGAGAAACAACACTAAATAAACACACCCAAAGGTGGTCCTACACTGGTGATAATCTGTCAGATAAGCCGGGAAAATCCTCTAGGGAGCCACCAAGAGTGCTAGCCAAACTAGAACCTGGAGGGGCGCAAAACAGAAAACGTGAGTGGGCAAAAACAAGCTTTTCAAAAACCATTTCATAAACAAAGTTCTAACCTCTCGCCGTAAAACCTGTATGCTTCCCAGAAAAATAGAATATACATATATATATAAGTCATGCTCAGAAATAAGCCATATCAAATGCCTCTAAATAAAATGCAAGTACTCAGGTAATGCCAAACCATGCCATGTAATCTGTCAGCCGGAGTCACCTAACGTGACCTGTACAGCTGAATCTAGAGCTCAAATCCACAACTCACTAACTATACCTGCACACGAGTCCGAACCACCTAAAGTGGTCTGTACGACAGGACTGGGTGTAAAATAAGTACGCTCAAGTGCTACGATCACGTGAAGACTGGGCGAATAATCACGGGTCACCTACGAGTCGGAACCACCTAAAGTGGTCTGTACGATAGGATTGTGCACCTAACTTGGATCCAAGATGAGCGTGTGGTGCGGGAGGTGAACATCACGTGAAGGATTGTGCCTAACTCTGGGCGGGAGCACTAACACCGGGGGGTGCAGGTTATGAGCTCTCTATGCATCTCAAATCACTACTAAATATAAACATAAACCATAACTTACCTGGCACTTACCTGTGCGTTCGCAGCACCAAACACACATATATATATATATATGCAACTAATAATGCATAATTAAACGGGCAAACAATATGCATGGCATATAAACGTATAAACGTTTCATTTCATTTTCTGGGAAAAACACAAGTATATAGGTATATATGAAAAACCAAAAGCCTACTCACTGGTATGTAGAAGGGTCGTAACCCCCTTGCCTCAAGTGATTGCGCTTGTCCTTGAGATAGGTCTCACCTATATGCGAAACAACTATAAAAACATTAATTTTAAAGCACATAACCAACATTACGAAATAACTTCTCATACAATGCTCAAATGAAGTGTATGAATACACCAACGTGATATACTCAACCTCACGAACATCCCCATATTTTAAAAATAATTTTCCGACGCCGCACGCGCCCGCACGCACCAGCCAAGGCACGGCCACACGCACCGCCCACGCGCAGGCACATGCCTGGCACACTGACGGCGTCAGTTAATGCCGTCAGGAATATTCCGTTAAGTTTAACTGATTCCGTTAACGCCGTTAGGAATATTCCGTCCAAACTGACAGAATATTCCGTCATCTTCTCCAGCCAACCTCCAGCACCGTCGCCGGCGCCGGAAAACCAGGAAAATTTCAAAACTTGATATCTCCTTCGTTTTTCATCCAAATTTTACAAAATTGGTACCAAAATGAAGTTTACAACAAGAGGAACAAATCCATACCACTTTCAAGCACCAAAACCCACGGAATCTTGTCGGGAAAACACCACCAACTTCATCCAAACCTGCAACTCACAATCCCAACGTCCAAAACCTTCAAACGAACCACCCCGAGCCTCCTGAGAACCTCACCAAGCTTCCTACAAGCTTGAAATTCCCAAAAACATAAGAATTAACGTGTGCATAAACAGTGACCAAATCGGGGATCTCGAGTTCGACGTGAAAATGAAGGTATCCTTACCTGAAATGGGTATGGTTGAACTCCTAAGGACCTCACAAGCACAAATATGTGGTTTGTTTCCTCGATCCGTGACGAATCCAAAGGTTTGTGGTGTTGTCCGTACGAAAATGATAGGAAAGGGAGAGAGAGAGGGTCTCGGGACAGGGTAGAGAGAGAAATGAGTGTGGTGTGTGTGTGGTCCAAAATCAACCAATCAAAACCCAAAAACAACCACACAACGAAACAACCATACTAGGGGCAAAACCGTCATTTCACCCATATGGTACGAAAAGTTCGGGACGGGCTGTCACAAATACCCTTTACATTTTACTTTTCATCATTAAAAAAATTTAGCATAATTTGGTTTAAAAAGTTTGTTCTCATTCCTTGTTGAGAATAAATCCACATTAATGGGAGAAGGGACGGATCTTGCATGGGTTTATAAGTAAGTTAGACTATTCCCTATATCGTTAATTGGTTTTATGGTAGAACCTTAATTTTTTTTCATAGTATCAGAGCAAGTTGTCTCACGTCTAAAGCTTAACGGCCACACGTGTTCTACATCACCCGATTTATCTTATTCACGTGTTTAGCTGAAAATCCGCCACACGTAAGAGGACGTTTTTTAGAATAAATCTCATATTGATGGGAGGAGGAACCTTGCATGTGTACTCTTATATTGCCAATTGGTTTTATAGTAAAATCCTAACTTTCTTCATTATAGTGGAACCTTAACTTTCTTCGTGATATCAGAGCTAGGTTGTCATACGTGTGAAACTCAATAGCCACATGCACTCCACCCCACCCCGTTGTGTTGTCCAAATACTAGACTTGAGAATTTGACACACGTGAGGGGGAGTACTGAGAATAAATCCCTTGATGGGAGGAAAGACCTTGCATGAGCTTATAAGTAAGTTGAACTACTTTCCATATTGCTAATTGATTTTGTAATGGAACCTCCACTTTCTTCATTCCCTATTCTCCAATCCCATCTCTCCATGAAAAATGTCATTCCTCCAAAACTAGGAATCTAGTTCTCATTTCATGCGAAACCCATGCATATTATGATTCCCCCTTAAGTTAGTAAACAAGGGGGTAATCTGGAATGTGAATGACTTTCATTCCATGCATTCTTTATTAATAAACATGCCCCCAATCAGTGGCAGGTTCAAGATTTTAACATCGGGTGATCTCAATATAAAAGCTCCAAACAAATTAGACAAAAATAACATTAAAAATTTAAATGATAAACTATAAACTTTTCATTCATAATCTTTGTACAAAACTTTTCATTCATAATCTTTGTACAAACAACATTATAAACTACAAAGACTAAATTTGTCCAAGAAATCAATTATGAAGTCAAATCATAACAAATTAACAATAACTATAATCTATTATGAAATTAAATTTTCCATGCAGTACACATCGATTTTAACATCGTATATGATTAGTTTAGGCTAAAATAGAAAACTTACTTAAATTCAGAAATTTAGGGAATTAGGTGGTGGTGGAAATTAAGAGAAGTGAACGAGATGGTGGTCGTGGAGGTGAAACAAGTGATGACGTGGAGCAACTGGTGGTGCCCTAGGGATTAGTTAGGTGGGGGGTTAGAGGAAAAAGGGACTTGGAATTGAGAATTGTAGAGAGACCAAATTTTTAAATCAAACTGTGTAAAATAAATGATGTGGTTGTAGATGATTGAATTATTAATTAAATGTTGATTAACATGCTTATTTCCGATTAGTGATGCATCATTTGGTTTGCAAATTTGGTTTAAAATTTTGGCCTCCCTAACATTATCCATAATGCAATTGGAAAAAGTGAATGCAAAATGTGATTAGGTGGAGATCTCGGGTAAGAAGAAAGATAATAGATTCTCTTTATTTATTTTTAATTAAAAAGTGACTCTCTCACGTGGCTTAATAAAAAGACTTGATTTTAAATAATTTA